CCTGGTAAAAGGTTTTGCACTTGGTTGTAGACAAGTTGAAATGGAAGAACGGGATCGGTTGATTCTGGCTCACCGGAGTCCTTACACAGACTCTCACAGAACGTCGGACACGGAGCCAGAAGTTCCACACACAAGTACAGCGTTCTTCAAGTTTCGGGAACGTCGTCGATCTACCATATTCAATAATGACAGCATTACATTGACGTGGAGTGATATCTCTGTCACAAGACAGGACCCAACAGCGGAACCATCTCTCTGGCAGCGAATTATGAGACAACGAAATACCGAATTCTCCGATAGCCGAGTTAACATACTACGAGCAGGTATGACTTTATATTGAGACGTACACCCATTTTCAAAAAGGTGTTTCACCTACTTCAATCTGAATGTCGTATGGGCGCACTAGATTTCATATATACATTACATATGGAACTCCTTTCGCTGGAGACAGTATAACATATCGTGAATACCCGTGAAAGATATGTATTGTATAAAGTCAGTATGCCCTACCTGAGTGTTCTTTTGGAGGTCAATGTGAGGCTGACATGCGAAAACACAACTGTGTCAGCAACTAATGATTAATGTCAATTCGACCTTTTACCCTGCGCCAGTGCACTAAAATTCACACCCACTTCGTTTCGGGTGGTAATTACTTCACACGACACAATATGTGAGTAAATGAAAAAAATCCAGATATGTTTTTCCCAGCCATAATAAGCTTTAACTGTTTATAGATTTCCAGCTTGTTTGAGAGTTTTCTAATTGTGCATCTCGATAAAAATAAAATCCTGATTATCGAAAACATTAATTTTGAGTCTTTCTCTTGTTTCAGATATAGATTTTGTTTGTAAAGCAACACACTCTAAGTATTCCCGTGAAATGTCTGTATTCTGCACACCTCTGACAGGCTGCCAACACACCAACACGCCTTTTAAACGCTAATGTTAGGGCAAGTTAGCAAATTGCAAAAGTACATAAAAATGTGCAAACGGTTGTACCTATGGGGTGAGAATACCACCGAAATTGGCTGAGTGTCATTATTTGAATATTGTAGTTGTTTGGTCTTTATTTGGAAACTTGTTTCATGGGACCACGGATTGAACTTACTACATCTATATCGGGGTCCTAATGTAGGACAGGTAATCGCAAGTCAAGCGAACCGAATGACAATGTAGACTGCAATGTAGATTCAAGATAATGTCTAAATAATGAAACAATTGAAACATAATGAAACAACACAAAATAATATTGTAGCAATTACACAATAATGAAATAATTAAGAAATCAAGTTAAAATAAAAAAACAAATAGCAATACGATGCTGTAGTAATAAGCACAAAATAAAGATTAAATAAAGACTAAATAACTGAATAACGACCAAATAATAACCGAACAACTATACAAACAAACAACTGAAAAATGTTCAAATAATTAAATCCAGCTAATTTTGGCGGTATTCTCACCCCATATGTACGAGCAGCACTTGACAATTGCGTCCAAGCCCTTGGAACGCTGCATGTAACCCTGTTGTGTGAACACAGCTTGTAGCATAACTTCTTATCACGTAAATGCCAGGGGCAAATGTGATTGCGGGTTTTCACCTAAACCTAACCTTGGTCAGCCTAATAAAAACTCCAGATAAAAAAGATATATATCAGTGATAGTTCGAACAAATCATATTCAGCGATAATTTGAGCCAGTGATTTAAAGGTCAGTGGTCGCCACGCAGCGCGTGTTCCAAGTTTATGCAAACAAACTATGTATTTTACACGCGCTGTGTGAGACGCTGTGAGTCCCACACCGAACAGGACGCGACACGACGACCACCGTCCTTTAATCCCCCAATACAGGTTATGAATATAATATATATATAACTGTAAAGTTGAATTTGTATACTTTAGAAAAATGTTTGTTTGGTGAGATTTCCAGAGATAGAACTTTCTTTCGTTTATTTTCCTTCAATGACATATTATTACCCAGTGTTGAACTTATGTGTATTCATGTGACAAACTTCCTCACTTCTCATCAAGTCATGATCTAAGCATATTCGTTTTTGATTGTTTCTTTTTTATTATTAGTTTGTTCATATGGACTTCAGTGTATTTTACTTTATTTCTTCCATTTATTTTATTGTTACGGTTCCTCTGTGGAATGCTTAAGTGCTTCCATTTTAATAAAAGAATAAAATTGATAGAATAAAAATGATTGTCATGTTACATGACACAAAGCATTTCTTGTGCATTTACTGCGTCATTTCTAGCTCCTCTGTGTTGTCATTTTGTTGTTAATACTCAATATTTACGAAACTTCGTCTATTTTCTTTTCACAGTTAGTGGCTATGTAAAACCAGGCATGATGCTAACCATACTTGGACCGAGGTGAGCTCATCTTCAAAACTACATCAGTACTCATAACAACTCGATTATTACACGCCGTGTATTCGTCTCACGTGGTCACCACGTGGTGCGTGTGTGTTACGTAGTCAGCACGTTGTTCGTGTATATCACGTGGTAGCCACGTCGTAATAATAATAATAATTATAATATTTGTATTGCATCTCTCTTTCGAATGCTTAGAACGATTCAGCAAGCATGTACATAAGTAATGACACCATATTTAACTTTTCACAAAACGATAATAGGTTAAAATTTGGGAATGTTACAGTCATTTTAATTATGAGAATTAGCAAAATTCTTTCTGACTCAAATGATGTTTTCACTGTAGTAAATACCCATTAATTATGTATATTAATAATAATGTATGCAAATATTTCAGTGGAAGTGGCAAGTCTACATTACTGGATACGCTGACATTTCGTAGTGATGGTAACCTAAGTGTACAGGGTAATATAATGGCTAATGGTGAACTTGTAGACAGCTCTATAACTAGTGTAATGGCTTATGTACAACAAGATGAATTCTTTATCACCACACTCACTGTCAGAGAACATTTACAATTCCAGGTAAGTATAGTTTACATATTAGGTATGTATTTTTTTATTATGTCAGGATTATATTTTATTATAATGTCAGGTATGCCTTTGTTTATTTACAATAATAAATAAAGGTATGTATTTTTTATGATGTCAGGTATGTACTGTAGAACACGTTGAAATAGTTGCATGCAATTGTAGCGGATTTGGCATGAATTAACAGAATCTTAATTTAGCTAAAGTGTCGACTATCTCCCTGTGAGAACATACTTTCTGTTAAATTAGCTGCACCTAGAATTAGAGAAATTACAGGTTAGCTGAATTAGCTAAAATAACATGCTAGCTGTTAAAAAAAACATGTTTACAGTATGTTTTATTATGTTATATACGACGCCATTAAAGTGACATTTTAACATTTTGTTGCTGCCAACTGACGCTGAGTTTGAAGTATTGTACTCTTAAGGCACTCTCATTATGTATGAGGAACTGCTACGTAGAGGCATGCGTAGTAGGTCTCATGCCACTAATTAACCAATGGCTGCTCGTAGCCCTCAATTTAAATGCCCAGCAAGAACCAATGAAATTTTTTAAATATTATTTTTCTCAGGTGCTCCCTGTTTGAGGGCGTAATCACCTGGGTCAGAGGTGAGACCAACATGTGGTCTTTTGTTTACTACTTAGCGGCTGTGTACCTGTGGGTTTATTCTGTGTGTTAATGGATGTTCTAATCTTGGTGTTTTTCCAGTGATTTCTCTTGGTGCAATCCAAATACAGTAGGTGTGTCTTGTTTACCTGAGATTTGCAAGAGTTTGAGCTGGCCAACATGTTAGTTTTTTTCATATGGTTGATTACTGGCATGTTGATTTCCCATTTTTGAGCCATATTTTCAACTTTCTTCGTCATTTTCATATAGCAATCTCGTCATATGTTAACATTGTCGTCTATGGAAATTCAATTAGTGGTATGAGCCCAGTAATGAAGAGCATAGCAGTTGAACAAGTTCAGCGAAGAGTCACACAAGTCTTGAAGGAACAAAACAGCGACCGCAGCGGCTAACGTCATATTTATTCACCCTCTGTATCTCAATGGCATGGCGGGAAGTGATACAGATGTTGACCGTTTTATTGGTAGTGTAATGTGATGGGGACATGCTACAAATCCAATAACCTATCTCTCCTATATCACTTTGCAATCACATTTATAATTAATAATTAATAGACGATCATATTGATCACGCCGATTTATTTTTGCATTGTTTTCAGGCGTTGCTCAGAATGGAAAGGGACATTCCGAACAATCAACGCATGACTCGTGTGGAAGAAGTCATAGTTGAGGTAACGACTACGTATATATCTAATAGTGCAAGTCAATGAAAATGTTACGTCAACAAAAGAACACAATATATATATCAAATTACATTGCATTATGTCATGTTATTAGGCCGTTGGCAAACTTTAACTTCTGACCCCAAACATTTAGCAACGTATTAATGGATATACACACTTATAAATTACTATGAACAAAAATGATGTCCCGCACTCACCAATACACAGCAAGATGCTTTAGCATTAGACATAGGACCTGTTTCTTCAATGAAAAGACATCAAGGCTCATGTCGGCAGTAATAAATCAGGCTGGTGGAAAAGTGAAAAGTTATAAGTATGAACAGTATACTTTACATCCACGGTGATCGGCGTTACAGAAACCAAGGCTGTCTGTCTGTCTCACGAATAAAATTAAAGAAAATCCGAATTCAGACGCACGGAAAATCGTGCACGTTTAGGGCATACTAAACTATTTCCGCATCGAATATTCGAAATAAATGACATAGAATTCAGTGGTTGTTATAACGTACATTCCTTTAGTGCACAAAACTTTATAAGCCCTATTTCTCCATTACAATGGCCATCGTTGATGAAAAATACAAGCAATAGAAACTATATAAATAAAATTTGCTACTGTAAACACCGATACTAAAAACAGTAGGACTTCGAGCAATTATATACACATCACACCACCTCGTGACTGCTACAATTGACCAATCACATTGGCGGGATACAACTATGAATTCACTTACATAACGAATGTATAACATTTATATGCTAATCTCCGACAATTTTCAGTATTAGTATTTTTTATAATTTATGCCATTCAAATTATTTGTTTGCCGGATTTCACGGAGATACATTAAATTCAAAATAATGAACTATGACGTTGTATGTTTTTACACGCAGCTTGGCCTGAAAGAGTGTGCCAATGTGCGTATTGGAGGTGTCACTGAAACCTGCGGCATATCAGGAGGAGAAAGAAAAAGACTCGCGGTGGCGTCCGAGGTAAACTTTTCGACACGATCGCGTAGCCTGCGCCCTCTATCGTTGGTTCGTGATGATTGCCAAAGGGCGCAACACACGCAGTTTAGTCAAATTTCAAGGTACACATATATGGAACGTTTTCGTGTATTTCAGATAATAACCAACCCACCTCTACTGATTTGTGATGAACCAACGACAGGACTTGACTCGTTTATGGCTAGGACTGTGGTCAGCAAGTTAAGTGACTTAGCCAGTGCCGGACATGCTGTCATATGTACTATGCATCAGCCAGCATCGGAGGTCTTTTGTGATTTGGATCAGTAAGTTGAATCCAACAGTTTGTCCTATATTGATTATTGTAAAATGCACATACTCAACACATACATACCATTTAGCCATGGATATTTTATTATCTGGACTGGTGCCTGTAACATGTATAATGTACCCAGGGCAAACTAAAACGTAACACTGTTAAATACTAAGAACGATTTGTGTACAACATGTTCTAAAGGCTGGTGGTCGTGGCGCAGTGGAGTGTTCGATATGGGCCTCGTAGCGCCGTATCCACAGGGGCGGACATCCGGGCATTTTCTACCGCTTGGCAACCCTCGCGGTGAAAACAAAGACCAAAAAGTCGCAGAAAACGGTACTTTGCAATGGTTGTCGAGAGTCCCCTGAACAGTGTAACAAGATTAGCCCTACGTGTGTAACATATATGAATTTGGTTGTTCAGGATTACTTCAAAGTTGAGTTTGTGTTGTTTTCTCGAATTTTCACCGGCTCCACCGGCGTTCCACAGCAGCGCGCACAAAGCCCGTAGAAATACGTGGTACAGTGATGCGCGTCTTAGCAACGCAGAACGTCTGTGACGTAGCTCCGCCCCCGAGGATACAACGCGTGTAATAAAATTAATTGTGTGTTTACGCGAGTTTGAAACACGCGCTGCGTAAATCCCATTACCGTTTAAACAAAGATTGCTATACCTACAATAGTATAAATGGAACCCGTTGCATTGGCACCCTTCCACTCCAAAAAGCAACCATATTCTTCAATTCACGTGTTAAGGTTTTGATTGATCAGTGGAACATGTTTTAGAAACCAAGACGACAAACTGAACGAATGTAGTTATATATGAGAAAATTCCAATCGTAGGTGGCGTTTTTCATCTACTAACACATCCGTTATAAATTCACAGCATAATGTTTCTAACAGAAGGAAGGTGTGCTTACATGGGACCCGCTACTGAGGCTGTCGACTACTTCGCTAAATATGGATACAAGTGTCCAGATATGTACAACCCGTCTGATTATTTTATTGAGACATTGTCGATTACCAAGGATATAGATGACGCAGACCGCCAGCAGGTTGAGGTAATCATAATCACGTGATAATAGGTTTCCGTGGCATGCGATCCCACCTAGATGTTGATGCTCTTAACCATCTAAGTACGAGTCATTAATTGTCACCAATTTTAGTAGATTGCATATAGTACACCTGACGCCAAATCTACAAACACGTCATAACTTGTCTGTCGTTGCTACCGTACACAGCACTTACCGCCCACTGTTGCCATGTCAGATGCCTACTTAAATACAGTAATCCCATATTTACGGTTATAAACCTCCTGTAGTCATGCATCAGATTTGGTGATGTGGCATGATATCACGCCCACTGTACTCAAAGTTGTAATTGAATTGAATTGACACAAAATCGAGATTTTAATACTGGTTCAGTAAATCTACCTGTTTACATCAATTTCCAGAAAAGGAAAATCGACAGAAAAGTCACTGACATTTCTTTAGAAAACTTAGCATATTTAGCCAACATTCAGAAAATTGACCTACTAGTTCATTGTATCGTTTTGTATTGATACAGAAAATAAAAACGCATAATATACACAAATCGCCGTTGTTCCACGATACGGCCGTGAGTTTGTTGTGCTACCCTATGGATAAAGTAATGCGAACGTATTGAAGCGCGCGTGGCAAACGTCGATCGTATGTGTACCTTTTATATGTGAGTAACCCCCGCGTACTGCCAGGGTAAATGCATCTTCCTGATTCAACCACTCACAAGCAGATGTACATTGCCAGTATGGAACTCTTGCTTATGCACTTGCTATGTAGGTTCGCCATCTTGGAACAAGTGGGGTTGGGGAAGGACGCAATTTTCCTCGCGAGACTACTGCAAAACGTATGGTGATACAATAAATATATTTTTTGACATTTGCTTTAGCCTCTCTGTGACTGCTACGATGTTTCACAATATAAATCAAAAGTCCATGAAGTAATACACGATCAAATGTTACGTGGAAGAATACGAAGAAAGTCAATCATGGTAAGTAAACACCATACAATAACTGTGTGTAATGAATATAGTATGATTCACGCGCAAACCACGTGATACATTCACGTGTCGATAATGATGATAATTTTACAAAGAATGTCAAGCGAGTCACGTGGTAGCCAGTTTATCCTTATTCTTTTTTTTCTGATATTTCATATTTACAGAACAGATTACATCCCACGTCAAGTTCACCGTAAGTTTATCAAAAGTATTCATGTATATGTAGTAATGATAATGTACGTTTCGTTAAAACTTGAACCTGAACACTTAATAATGTCAGTTACCATATGCAGTATGTGATATATCTTTAATTTAATGTTTAGTTCTGAAAATTGCGCTTAAGTGTGTCAGGGTTAGTGGAGTCCATGTGAATTCGAGTATTAATCACGCGAGGAATTAACCTATTTCATAGTGTCTAATGTGTGGGAGTGATGTATTCGGGAGAAACATATCATGAATTTCCTGTAATTAACATCAGACAAATTGTATTTATTTATTTATTTAT